GTTTTATTACCCTAAAATAATATATTCATGTCATCGTGTTGCTGTCAAACATGTTTCCATGAAGCAGTGGTCCTGAGGTGTCTCACCTGTGGTTGACAGTGTGTAGTAGTAAACCAAGGAGCCACTCTGATTTAGCAGYAAGGGGACCTGGTACTTGAAGGCAACACAAACAACAGTGAAACAACAGTGAAATGACAGTTTAACAACCAGTGGACTTAAAGAGGGAAATATTAGGTAATAATCTAAAAGCAAACCTTGAGGTTTAGGAGAAGGAACTTGATTTCAGCCAGAAGTTGTGAAACTCTGTTGGCTTTCGTCACCTTTTCTATTCCCTCAGAGCCCTTTTTTAGGAAAGGGTTGGTGCAGCCCCACAGCACCGACACAAGCAGCAAACTGAATAACTCCACTGCAAACACACAACTCTTTTAATGTCTGCCTCTTTAACWTGTTTTCTTCATGTGTTGACTAGAATAGATACTGGCGTCAGCAACCGGTTAGCTACTTCCTTAGCATGGGCTATGGGCAACTTCTATTAGCTTTGTAAAATTAACGCCAAAAAAGAAAAGAAAAACATACATTTAATCTCAAATGCATAACAACATTCAGCTGCCAGCAAATAAAATCCCATGATGATATTAATCAGGTAGAAGCCACTCACCTACGGTCACCATCACGTTAGCAGCGCACTAAGTTGCGTTCAAGACTATCATTAGTTAACATATGTGAACGACCGCATTTACCTTCTAACATATTACATAAATGTATGTTGTATATACATTATAAGGTGTTTTATAAACAATGAGCAAAATAAACAATTTTTTTTAAATGCATAACAAAATGTTACGTAAAACGACGATGTCTTAATTTGCAACGASAGCGTTGTGTTCTTGAATGTGGCTTTGAAGCGTCACACTGCAGTTATTCATTCATACCACCAGAGGGCGCAGTACCAACAATCATAACAATGTTTTAAACCTTTCAAAAAGTACTTGACCACATTTTAAAAATAGTTCATTTTAATACCATTCATTTGAAAAAGATCCCCCTCACAAAAAAACAATTACAAAAAGTAGTGAAAATAAAGTGCAAAATACTTTTTGTCAAATCAACAAGGATTCACATCAGCAAGTTTAATTGACATGCCTTCATAATGTTTTCACTTCTTGTACATACAAAAAAAAATAC